GCGAGGTCTCCTTCAAGGTCTGCTCCCGGAAGAAATCCCGTGGCTGGTAGATCATGACGGGCTCATGGTGCTCCCTCAGCTGCTGGGGGCTCAGGTAATGCTTCACTTTCAGCAACCCTGGGAGAGTGGTGGCCATGACGTTCTCCATGGTGCTCCACACGGAGTCCAGGAGGAGGCAGCACTTTATCTTTTCTGTCTCCAGCCCTTGCTCCTGCACCTCCATGCCCTGGCTGTGGTTGACCAGAAGCACCAGCAGCTTGGCCCTGCGATTGGCAATCTTGCAGTTGTTTACCCGTAGACCCTCTCTTCATCCTCCTTCACCATCCAGGAATGGTGTAGTTTGTCTGTTTTGATCAGGTTAGGGATGTCCCTCATGGTCCTGCTGCTCAGGTCCCAGGCACAAATGTCCACGGCATCTAGGACCGGCAGCAACTCCTCCATGTGGCTGTCAGGCACCAGGTGTTGAACATCCTCCATGGTGTGGCAGCGACAGTAAGGGTGCAGGGCCTGTGGGGTCTCCACGGAGACCAATTTTAATATAGAAGTACACATGGAGGTTTCTGAAATCTCTCCCCCCTGGCTGATGGGTGCATTTTCACTTGTCACCACCAAATGATGATGCAAAGGCAAGTGGCAGGCCCAGAGCAGTGCCCCAGGGAAGGCAGCTGCCATCCACCCGAGAGGGGTGCTCTCCAAGGTTGGCTGTGTTTCTGATACAGAGAGGGTCTGAGGAAGAAGTGAGTGCGAGTTGCTCCCGTCTAGCTCTGAGGTGGGAGAACACCGATTTTTGGAAGGGGAACACAAGTCCCTCTGTGCTCTCTACCTCCCGGGAGCCCCAAGACCACCTGTGTCCTGGTGGTCACAAAACCCTGTCTGGTCAGACCTTCCTGAAGTAACGCCTGGGAAGGGAGGAGCTGGGACTATGGTTGTCTACGCAAAATGAGCAAATCTTTTAGAATTTCTAAAGGAAAACAAGCAAGTTTTATTGGAGTCCAAGATAGGACAACTGCTAGGAGACACAATCTTCTCAAAGAAGAGAATGCTCCCAGAAAGGAACATTTAGTGTAGGGTCATATATATATGGTTATATATATAATATATAAAAATAATATATATTTATATGTTAAATACATATAATAAAATATATTTACATAAAGAGTTACAAATTATCATGATGAAGGATATTCCAGAAAGTTACAGACTTTATCTTATGTTTTTAGCATATGCCAATCTTCATGATTTTAATCTTATGGGAACCAGGATTTTTATTCTTTTTCTTATTTTCATGTTCGGAATGCTTCTTTTTGGTCATTTTGCTGGCAAAGAGGATATATGCTCGGGGCAGGTGTGTGCTCGGGGCAGAAATAGAGCCTATGCTTTGAGGTTTTGCTAAGTCACTTTGACTTAGTAAATCTCAGTATAGCTTCTCTGTGAGCCCAGAAGCAGGGTCCACAAAGGTTAAAAGTTGAAAATTGTTTTTATTCCTAAATTCTGGCTCCTGCCTTGAAATATTCTCCTGTGTGTTCCCCCACTGCCTTCCCCAGGCAGGCAGGTGTGGCTGGATGCAGAGGTGAGGCTGGGGTGTGCATGGCTGTTGGCCTCTTGCAGGGGAGGATGCCAGGCTTGTGAAGAGCTGGAGAGTTGGGGGGTGAGGGAAGAAGCAGCAGGGAACTTGAGGAATCAGAATTCTAAATCATTCCTGCCTTCCAGGTGGTTAGATAGTGTATTTATGTAAGTGGGAGTCAAAGTATGAGCTATTTCCCTGTTTGTTCACTCTAACCTTGTATTTTACGTATTTACCCAGGGATGTGAGCCTCCTTTGCACTCCTGCCCACGGCTCACAAAGTATCTGAGCCTGGATAACCCCATCCAAGTGCCCTCATATCTCACTGGCCTCCAAGATCACCTTCTACCTGGCCTCTCTGGGCAGTGGAAGGGAAATTCTTAAAACTAGAGTCAGATCTTGTGCCCACCTGCTAAACCCTCCTGGACCAAACCCAATCTCCTTACCTAGGTATGTAAGGCCCCCTACCTTT